GGTCAGCGCATTCGATGGCCACCAGCATGAAGGGGTAGGACTGCCCTCGAAGGCCTTCATGTTGACCAGGTCCACCTGCTGGCACATGGGCTCCAGCGGCCGGTCCTGGTTCACCCGGAGCTGTCAAGAAACGCCTTCACACCTGAGCCTGCCGCAGCGTCTGCGCTATGCTGCCAAGCCTGTGCGGGGATCCTCGTAGACGGCCTTGATGGTTTGTCTGCGGGCGTCAGCCATGTTCTTATGGCTTCTTCGGCCCCCGCTGGGCCTGCCAGGCTTCCACCTCGTCCAGCCGGCCCTGGAGGCTCTTGCACACCCAGAGCACGCTGGCGAGGTGCGAGTAGTCGAGCGTGATCATCTCGGTGCCGTCGCTAGTAGTAAGGAAAGGCAGCTTATGCACCCAATTAATTTGGGTTTTTTGGCTAAAATGGCCTTTTTTCGGCCAACTTTCCGAAATCCCGAAAAGTTCGTTTTTTTCGTGTCAGACGTCAAAAGTGGTGCCTGAGCCTCGGGCGAAAAAGTGCGCAAAAGCGGCCCAGTTCCCGAGTTCCGGAGGACTTTGTTCTTCGCAGGGTTTTCCGCGGCCCGACAGCCCGCCGAGGACCTGGCTCGGAGCCCGACAGCCCGCCGAGGTTTCGGCCTGCGGCCCGACGAGCTTGTCACCGCTGATGTCACCGCTCCGTCCGGCTCCGTTTTTGGCTCAAAACGGTCAGAGGTGCGGGGATCCTCGTAGATGGCCTGATGGTTCGTCTGCGGGCGTCAGCCATGTTTCTTGTGGCTTCTTCGGCTTCCACCTTGTCCAGCCGGCCCTGGAGGCCCTTGCACTCCCCCAAGAGCACGCTGGTGAGGTGCAAGTAGTCGAGCGTGATCATCTCGGTGCCGTCGCTCCACCTGGCGGTGCCCGTCAGGTTCTTCCACTTTGTTCCTGCGAAGTCGTTTGAGGCGAAGCCCAGCCTCAGGTCCTCGTTCATGTCCGGGCGTTTGTACTGCTTGGCCTCCACGGAGTCGAACAGCTGCTGCAGCTCTGCCACGTCGACCTCGGCCATCTCCGTCTTCACCCTGCTGTCCGACAAATTCGCGAAGCTCGTGTTGCAGACCACGTTGCCCGTGTTGCCTGCGATCACGAGGCAGCCGGGGTTCCTCTGGTTCGTGGTCAAGGACAGCTGCGTCGAGAGGCTCTTCGTCTGCGCCAGCGCCTCGTCGTTGATCATGATGAGCTCGCACTGGTGCGTCCCACCGTCCCGCTCCAGGAAGACCCTGGCGCTCTGGTTGCCCAGCAGCCGCAGCTCCAGGCCGCTGTCGGAGGCCGCGCTGTTGTTGGACACTTGCAGCTTGCTCCAGCCCGCCCAGTTCTTCGTCAGAGACGAGGTGTTGGTCACGGTGAGCGTGTTGGACGCGAAGAGCTGCGAGCTCGTCACGTCGCCGCACACCACGCTGCCCGTCGACACTCCGCCGCTCGTGGCCGTGAAGGTGCAGTCCAGGCTCTCGGAGTCCAGCGGGCGCGGACGCCGCCCCGGTGATGGTCAGCGTGGCGCCCGTGACCGCCCCGGTGGCTGCGAAGCTTGCCGCCGTCGCTGCGCCTGAGACCGTCAGCGTGCCCGTGGACACGTCGCCCACCGTGGTGAAGTTCCCGGCGTTGGCCGTATTGTTGATGGTGAGCGTGCTGCCGGTGATTCCGGTGGCCGAGCTCAGCAGGCCCACGCTGGCCGCCCCGGCACGGCGCCTGTGGACGGTCCGGGCCCGTCCTTGTAGGCCAGCAGCGCGCCTGCGATGGCGGCCTGCGTCTGCGTGTCCTGCGCGCTTGCCGTGCGGTAGTCGGTCAACAGCGCGTCCACTTGTGAGGAGCAGCGCAGCCGCGAGGGCCGCGTCCGCCGCTGCGATGGAGTAGCAGTCGGCTCGTCGCCGTTGGCCAGCGCAGCAGAGAGAGGAGCCTCCAGATGCAGGTTGCGAACGACGTTGCTTCCGCGAACGAGCTCCCAAGTAGTGAAGCCAGGCCGGCGCGTTAACAACTCCGCCGCTGCCGGAAAGCTGCAGGGCGGCGAGCTCCGCGAGGATTGGAGCGTGGTCTCGCTGGCTGAGAGCGCGGCGTTCGTGGCGTACGAGGCCAGCAGCGTCGCGTCGGCCCCCTGGAGCGCCGTGATGCTGGCGTCGCGGCTAGCAAGCTGCGCTGCAACGAAGGCCTCGGTGGCGAGACCCAGCAGGGCATTTGCTATCTTGGTGTCTACCTCCAGCGGCATGTCCAACCCACCGAGGACAGGGCGTGACTGGGCCAAGAGGGCTGCCGCTATCTTAGAGTCCACCTCTGAGGAAGTGTCGACGGTAGACAGCAGGGCGTAAGCAGTCAGCGCACTGGCGTCCGCCCTGGAGGCCTGCAGCCCCGAGATGGAGGCGTCTCAACTCGCGATGCGGCGGTGACGACGCCAGGAGAGCGTTGGCCCTTGGTGTCGACCTCCAGCGGCGTGATCCTCGCCGCTATGTCTAGGGAGTGCTGGTCCACCACCGTCTTGAGGCCGTAGTTGGCCGCCACCGTGGCCAGCGTGGCGTTGTTGGCCGAGGCGATGGAGCCGTTCATGGCCGCCGTGGTGCTGTAGTTGGACAGCTTCAGATCCACGCCGTCCGGGGTGCTCTTCGTGGCCACCACGCCCTCCAGCACGTCGAAGGCCGACTGGTCTGCCTTGTTGGAGAGACCCGTGGTCAGCGAGCTCTGCAGCGCTGCGATGCTGCTTCCGTGCGCGGCCACCTGTCCGTCCGTGGTGGCCAGGGCCGCCGCCGTGGCCAGGGGCGCAATTGCCGGCGCCAGCGCGCTGCTGTCCAGCTTTGGGGCCAGCTCGGCGGTGACTCGGTCGTCCAGGGACTGGATGGCAGCCGCGTTGTTGCCTGAGGCTGCCGTGTTCACCGCCAGGTCAGTTACTTGGGCGTAGGGTGTCAGAGCGAGGCAGCTGCCCTGCAGTGACGTGCGTGCCGTCAGTTGCCTCTCCGTTGTCCAGGACCTCTGGGATGTTGCCCGTGACAGGTCCTTCTCACATGTTTTCTTTGGAGTAGTCGTTTCGTACTTGTTTCGTAGGGGTGTTGTACTTTCGCAACGGCCCCCTTGAGTCGCTATGGGCCATTCGGGGTCTTCGTAGCGCAGGGTGGTATAAATAAATATCAACCGCCCTCGAGCCGCTATGGGCCATTCGGGCAAAATCGCTGTACCGTGGAATGACGAAGTGAGCGATGGTGTCGGACGCCTTGGTCTGAAAAGAAGTGAGGGAAAGCATCCTTCACTTATGATGAATTGACCGATGGCGTCGGTCAAAACACTTGGGACACAGTACTGGCACCTCGGGCTGGAGCGCGTGATGAACTGACCGGCGAAGCTATGCATTGTGTGCATAGTTTTACGGGACACTTGTCTCATGGGGCGACACGGGTCATGAGACACCTCGGAGACTCAAGCGCGCTACCTTGTCTCAGTGGTTATGACCTGTGGGGCATTCATGAACCAACCTTGCTCATGAGCCATTGATGAATCACCCGGTTCCAGTATTGACTCAAACTTGCCAAGAACCAAGTCCTCTCAGGAACCGCTTTTGCGCGCTTTTCGGCCCCAAAGAGAGCGGTGACGAAGCGGTGACAAACGGTGACAACCTCGGCGGGACGGAATTCGCCTGTTTTCCGGGCCGAAAGCGGAATCCTGAGCAAAGTGACCGGAGCCTGCTATCGACCGAAAACGAGCGAAACTTGAGGCTCAGGCATCCCACTTGCCGTCCGACACGGAAAAACAGGCTTCGGAAGCATAGCGCAGACGCTGCGGCAGGCTCAGCATTTTCAGAGAGGAAGTGAAGGCGTTTCTGGACGGCCTCCGGGTGAACCAGGACCGACCGCAGAGAGGCTACAACAGCTTCGTGCCTGCCTGGAGCCCATGAACCAGCTGCAGGTGGACCTGGCGGATATGAAGGCCTTCGGGGGCAAGCCTTCCTGGAGAGTTGTCCATCCAAAAAAATCGCTCATCGTACAATTTTTTTTCGTACATCGTACAATTTTCCTCCGTCTTGGGAAAGGGAGCCCCCCTTTTTTGGACATGTGAGTCTGGAGGTGCTTCAAGAAGACTTATAGTGTGGCAAGACCCGGCCGCACGAGCGCTCTTCTGCGATCGCAGCAGGCGCCCGAAGAAGAAATACCCGTTTTGAAAATTTAGGCGGCGCCCTGCCGCAAAAACAATCAAAAGCTGCGGCTGCGATCATTTCGTGACACACCGTGCGCCAGCCTGGCACGTTGCTTGCAGCATTGCTTTGGCTTGTCGTTTTTTACGACCAGGGCATGGTCTCGCAACAGCGCTTATGACCTTGAGTGTAGGGCTTCTCACGCGCGCTGCCCGCAGACGTTCTCCCCAGAGCTCTAAGAAGATCCGGTTTTTGGGAAGTAGGTTTGCGGCTCCCATCCACAGGGGTCCAGAAACTCACAAAGAAACACAGGCCATTTGGTGAAGCGGGCTACTTAAATTTGAGTGAAGGGCAACAACCCCGCGCAAACTGAATCCCTACCAATTTTGAAAAAGGAGCAGCAGGACAGTCGTCCCTTTCAACCTGTTTTTCGCACAGCGCAGTCACTGCGTTGGCACAGCTGCTTCGGCAGCAAACGAGGAAGCAATCCGCAAGAGCCACCTTTGTACAAATCGCTGAGCGATTGTTGCACCATGCAAGGCTCCCCGGATCACTTGACATGTCTTTCCGACGTTGTCCTCTTCATTCCAGCAAGAGCAGTAACGAGGGTTGAGGCGCCCCTGCTTGACCACGCTTTCGCACAAGAAGGAGTGAAGCTTTGGCCTCACTTTCCAACGGGGAATGTGTTCATTGGTCGTCAGTGAGCCACATTCCAGCTTTATCCAATTGGCAAGCCCACTCGTTGAGACTCCAGGCCAACACAGCCTCGCACGACAAGTTCTCCTGGCTGCAGTCCTGGCCACAACTTTTCTTGCCATAACAGGGTCCAAGAGCTCTCAGAATGACAAACCTTGGATTGGAAGCGTTAGTCTTTGTTGCACCCATGCCGGGGCCGACTTGGCCAAGCTGCGGACAAGAAGCACGCGAAGAAGCTGATCCTTGGTAGCGCTCAACTGAGGGATAATGAAGTTGGGTGCGATTGCAGTTGGGGCGCATGACCCGGTTGGCCCACGCCTTCCCGTACCCCAATGGGTAATCATAGCTCACGGCATCGATTCCCAATTTGGTCAAGCCTGGGTTGGATTTCCACTGCGTTTACAACATGACAAAATGTTTTGCGGGCAGTCAAGGAACTCAGCTCCTCCAAGCAAGAGCTGTCAATTTTGCGCGCAGCGCACCAGCGGAGAGCGTGACACCAAAGGGCGTGAAGTCTATCGTCATACGTTTCCATTTCTTGGAAGAGAGCGTGCTTGTCACAAACGTTGAGTATCAACGAACCACAGGCATCTCTGGCTGTTCCAAGCCAGACAGTGTGAAGAACGTCAGCAGCCTCCATGTCAGGCACCCACCCTGGAAGACCATGCATCCTAGCAAGCAAGGGCAAACAAGCAAGCAAGGAAAAACAACAAAAGAACCGCGCAAGCAAACAAGAAGGTAAACAGGCAAACCAGCAAACCAGCAAACACACAGCAGACAACTAGGCAAAGCAGCACGCGATGCCAACCACTCCAGCACGCAAAGCGAGTTAGTTAAAAAAATGCTTCCAGGGAGCGCGATGTTCGGCCCCACGCCTGGTTCCCAAAAAGAAAAGGTTTTTGCGGGGCAAGCGGGATAAGAAACTTTTGAAGAAAATGTAGCTCAACCAAGCCACTTTGTTTCAAAGCATCTTCAGTGTCCTCCAGAAACTTCATCTCTGTGGTGTCCAGGAAGCTGCGATCAGGCCCTCGGCCTGTCCAGCAACGCCTGCATGTCTGCCCGCACTGCTGACCTCCGCTGTGATGCCCGTAATGCCACAGTTCTTGTAGCCACTCGCGTTTAAATTTTGCGTCACCTTTTCCAAGCACATAATGCGCTGACCATCCGCGCAGGCTATCGTGTGGCTGAGCCAGCGCTGACAAGCGCCTGCGTATGGGCAGAGAAGACTTAACGAGCGACGCTTTGAAAGCCAGTCCTGACCAGATGCCGTTGCACAGCCTGCAAGGTCTCGTTGGTCCCATCCGGCGCATAATAATACAGCTTGCTGGGAATGACCTAGATGTCAAAAACAGGGGGGAAAGTGTAGGCTTTATCTTGAAAGTGTTGGATCTGTTTGTTGAGCACGCAGCAAATGTGCGGACAAGGCTCAGTGAATGGGATTTTGTTCTTGTACGCGACTGGGTTGTGTGTGCCAAACCCACTCCACGATAAAATCATTTGTTGCTTCGCCTTCTTCGCCTCACCTTCGTCGCCATGAAAGGAAATGGCCATGGCTCGCTGGCGGTGCTGAGCCTCCCAGCATTGCACCGGGTGGCGCCTTGGCACCAAAAGAGCGCAAGGAGGGTTTTGCTTGTTCGCCGGAAAATGTTGGGCATAAGCCCTGGCCGCAACAGAGGGGATGAGGTTTTGCAGTTTCTGTTGGGGGCCAAAGGGAAACCCTGTCAAACAGCAGGAAAACACATCAACTATTTTGGAAAACACACGCAAACATAGTTTCAAAACGGTTGAAGAGACTAGGGACAAACCCCACGTCTCGGTCTTCGCGTTTTCCCAGAATTGAAGCCAGTCCATGGACCCTGTCCTTGGTGCGTCAACAGAAACACAGATTCTCTTATGTTTTCAAGTCACACCCTTGCAAACTCAGAGTCACTGTGCCCAATTTGTCAACTTGATGCAAAGCACGTAGAACATCCAGAGGTGCCAGAATTGGCCAGCGACGGTACACAACCGTTGGAGAAGCCGGCGAGCCCTTTTTTGGGCGAGGGTGATTTGGGTGACCTCTGGCCCTTGGCTTTGCTTTGGCCTTCGATCTGGCTTGTTTTTTTGCTTTGCTAGATCTGGCTGCCTTGACATCCACCACGGGCAGCACCACGTATGTCAATTTGCATTTGAAGCAAGTTTCCTGAGAACGAACAAAGCTGCACGAAACTGGCAATCCAACTGTGTAGCAAAATCACGCGTGTGACGCAGCCCAGAAGCATCTTTGCACCTGAGGATTTTGCGATGCAACATCTCCTCGCAGTGGGAGCCGATTTTCCTTGCTGCTGCCCAACGAGTGCCTTGGCAGCAGAGGCGTGTGGCCCTGCAACTTCGCACACGTGCATGAGCGCAGTTGCAAGCAAGTCGCTGGAGCTAACATTGGCACCTCCAGCTTCCTTCAAGCACGCTTGGGCCATTCTTTGAACAATGTGAGCTGGTCGCCCAGCACCAACTTCGCTGCAGGCCAATTGAAAAACTGGAGACGTGGACATGTGGACATCCTCCCCCGCTGACCCCTGCTGCGCGCGTCCCCTTGACTTGCGCTGCAAGCTGCGCAGCCGCTTCAGCATGGCTGTCCGTCCGGCTACCACCGACACAACGCTTTTGAGAATCATGAGGGTGCCACAAGCTAGTCTCAACAACAATGTATAATTTTTCTTTGGCCTTGAAAACAATGGCTGTTGGAAATGATTGAGCAGCTCACCATATCCACTCTGGGCCAATCCGAGGCTCAGATGAATCATCGCAAAGCTCGCCGTTGCTGCATGGTGACGCCCAAGGACCGCAGAGCGGCGCTTTTTGACTTGCTCAACTGTTGTCGCAGGCTACCCTAGGGCTACACACAGAAAAGCAAACCTTGTCAACTTTGAGCGTCGCCGTGGCTCAAAACGCGTCACGGTGCCTAGTTGAACCAACAGCTCACACAGCGCGACATTTCCCCAACCATGAAAAGTAAAGTTGAGGTGTGGAAAAAACGACACCGTGCGCAACCAGGCTTGCGGCAAGACCTTCTCCTTTGGCTCAATGTCTCACCACGAAAACCATTGTTTGGCTCAAAGTTTCACCCAAGTCCAGACAAGCGGCTTCTGGCTCAATGTCTCAAAAAATGCTGAGTAAACAAAACGCGGCGCAACATTTCCCTAGAGTGGCTTTTGCCTGAAGTCTCGCCTGGCAGCGCTCTCAACCCTATGGGCATTTGCCTTTGGGCTTGCGCTTGGGAGCTTTAGCGTCGCCAGCCTCTCGCTTGGCAGAAGAGATCAACGACTGAGCCGTTTTGACGTGCTTGCGATGCGCAATCACAAACGGCTCTGCAGCCTTCAAGACATGCGAAACGTGGGCGCTGGCCAGTTGCTGGCTGGCTTGCAACTGCAGCAACTTCTTCCGGGCAGCCCCAAGGCCAGCTGCGGAGTCCCGGATAAGTTGACCAAGCTGCTCTTGCGACTCGAAGCTTTCCAGCCTCGCAACACACAAACTTGCGCGAAACCAGAAAAGCGCCCCCAAAACGCCGAGGCGCTGAGCCCCGATGGCAGTGGCCAGGCCCTGTGCGTCCGTGGAGGCTTTGATCCAGTGCTGGATGAACTCCACGAGGTTGTCCTCATCGGCAACCACCACCTCCAAGTCTGACCCACGCGGTCGTTCCTTCTTTGGGCGAGGAGCGCCCTTTGCCTTAGGGGCTGGAGGTGGGGCTGGGAGGCGCGGTGCTGACATGGCCCTCATAAGGTCCACAGCCACCGCGGCTTCCACACCGCACTCCGCACTGATCTCCTCCAAGCCCTTGTGGGTGATGGAGCGAGACTGCTCGGAGAAAAGGAGAAAGGTCTCACTGCCATCGTTCCGATCTGTGGAGGTCCTGCGCGCGCGCGCGTGCCATGAATGAGGCAAAAGGGCAGGCAAACTCTGAAAGCCAGTCCCCTTGTTCTGAGATCGACGAAGTTGTGCAAAGTGGGTGGCTTTGGCCTCGTCGTTCTCAAAATGCTGCAAAACCTTGCCCCAGCGAACATACAGGCCTCGGCTGAAACAGCCGCGCGCCAACGCAGCAGAAGCTAGGTCTGACGAGGCGCCTTGATCCTCATCTTTGGTTTCGGTGGTGCGCTTGAACCGCATGACAGCCTCCACGGCCATCCCGTTTCCTGCGCTGCTGCAAGGTCGGAACTTTAGCTGAAAATCACTCAAGCGAGGCGGCCTCCGCTCTGAACATACTTTGTGAAAGCGTCCAACTTGGAATCGCCACCCTTCCTTCGCGCAAGGGCAGCTCAGGAACATTTGCACACAGGCCAAGAGTGCGTTAAACTCCATTTGCGGAGAAGTCTCTCAAAGGCTTTGCGAACTTCAACTGCGTCTGGGGCACGCATTAGCCAGCGCTCGAACTTCTTCCAATCGCCTGGGTGACTGGACGAGTTGCACCGCGGCGGTGTAACTCGAGCTGGAGGTTCTGACTGCAGCGAGGGGGCTGGGGTGCCAGGTGAGTGCTGCGGCGTGACTGTGGCCGGCGACTGGGACTGACTCCTGCTGCGCGACTGGTGATTGCGGGGGTGGCGTGGCAGGCGACTGCCTGCCAGGGAGCTGCTGCGGTGTGGGTGACTGCTGGGGCACGCTTGCTGCGGTTTGCTGGGGTGCGGCTGCAGGAGGCGGCGGCTGGGCGGACGCAGTGGGTGTTACTTGGGGGGGCGCTGCCGCAGGGGCAAGATTTGCTGAGGGTGCAAGTTGCGGAGGCTGGTCAAGAGCCAGGGTGGGCGCGTGTTGCTGCGGCTGCTGGGGCACAGCTGGCGCTTGCTGCGCTTGCAAGTGCGGAGAAGGGGTGGCCGTGTTCAGGCCAGAAGGTGCGCTCAGGTTGGTTCTGGTCGCCACCCACGTAGCGTGGTCAACTTTGAACTTGTCCCAGCCTTGCCAGCGATTTGGCGTGGCTGGCGCGCCTGGCAAGTCAGCAGAGGCTGACGCCTCTGGCTCTGACAAGCTTGGTTCACGGCCGTGTGGCAAGGTTGCCCGGTTGATTAAGGCGCGGGTCAAGGCGTCGTGGTCTCTCGCCAGCAAAGCCTCATACACCTCCTCGCCCAGACTTGCCCGAAGCGGGAGCAGATTGGGAGACGGAGAGAGAGGGGCCTCACTTGTAACAGTCATAGCGGGGGAGGTTGGTGAAGCCGCGTCGGCTGTTGGGTCAAAAGTTGCCTGGGGGACGTGGCTTGCCAGCGCTGGAGTTGAAGCGCTTTCGGTTGGACCAACCGGCTGGACACGAGTTGCCGGTTGCGCCGGCGCAGCGGCTTCAAGGATGTGCGCAGGGTAGTTGCGCAGGCCAGCTCCTGCGCTGGAGCCGGCGGAGAAGCTGTTGGCAAGAGCTGAAGCTGCAACTCCTGAGCAGGAGCGCTTGAAGGTGGAGGCAAAGTTGCGTGAGCTGCCGGGGCTGGGGTTGGAGGAGTTGCTAGTAGCTGTGGCGCCGCGGAAGAGGTTGGTCCTTGCACGGCGGCTGACACTGCGGAACTGGGGGCGCGCCTTGCTTGCTCTGGGGGTTGGGCTGTTGTTGGAACGGTTGTTGGTGGGAAGGCGACGGCTGCGGGCCGCTCGACTGGGGCCACAAGCACGGTTGCTGGCACGGCGGCGCCCAAGCTGGGCATTGCGTTTGGCTCAAGCAGGTGTTGCGGGGAGAGAGCAGCTGAAGGAGCGTCGCGCGCCAGTTGACTTGCCTCGTCCAGCTGAGTTTGACCTGCCGCTGCCTGCCAGCTCATTGCAATGATGGTGAGCTGCGCTGAGCAAAAGGCAAATGGCCCGGAGAATAACAGTCTTGAACACGGCTTATCTGGAACAAACGCTTTTGAAGAGAACCATCAAGTTGCGCCAGCACTCCTGAAGTGACGTCGCACCCTTGCAGTGGCATGTGAAACGATGGTTGGTTTATATGATCTTGTTGTGCGTTGTTGCACTCTTGCTCAAACCAAGTAAAGAGACGATGCCCCAAGGCGAGACAATTGGAGCTGCAAAGAAAAGCGATGCAATGTTTTGGATTGACGCCGAAGTGAAATCCAGCAAATCCCAAAGCCCGCTCAAAGCCCGCCTGGGCATCCATCCAAGCTTGCTCAAGCACATGCCCTTCAGGACGCACCGACGGATCTTGGCTGGCCAGAAGATCCAGCCCGCAGTCCAAGGATGTGCTTTGGCGGATGGTTGAAGCTGTCAAGTTCGCCGCCGAGCTGTCAGGAGGGAGCAACGACTGCAGGGGTGACAACCATGTTTTATTCGAAAGTGTCGCTTTGCGACAAAACGGGCTTCCAAACAGGGTTCTATAAACACGCAAACAAACCGAAGGGTTTCTTTATGTCGCTTTTTGACCGGACCTCCCCCGATGCTGGAGAAATTGGATTGCCGCTTTTTTGAGAGTCGCTAAGATGGCCCATTTAACTTGCTTTTCGCTATGCCCCAAAAATGGAGCCCTTGACCCTGACATTGAGCAAAAGCAACTCCAGCCTGGTGAATCCGCCCTATGGCTGAGCAATCCAGAAACGATCCAGCGTGCATCACTGTTGAGTCCTGCCGGTGTGGCTGTTCACCAAGCTCGAGCGCTGACTCCACAGAGACGGACTCCTCAACTGTTTTGTTGGCAGCTGAATAAGCACATGTTTCGATCTGTTTGTCATTTGTTGCAGCAAATTGCTGCCCAGTGTCTGCGCTCGGAGTTGGAGTTGGCTCTACTTGGCCCAGGTTGGATGGCTGCGAAGGTTCCACATGCGTCCTAAGTTTTACGAATCTACATGGACAGACACCCTCAAACTCTGGTGACAAAGGTAGAGATCTTGTTCAACTTGAAGCAAAAGCTGAAACGGGCAACGTGTTAGAAAGCCCCCCGCTGACATGCAACTTCGTGCGCTGACAAGGCGCATGCGATGCTTGATGCGATTCTTCTGATCTTCGCTCAGGCTGAGCAGGCCCAGCAGCTCTTCATCAAGGGCGCGAACGTTGTCCTGCACAAGCCGGCTGTCAGACGGGCTGCAGAACACAAAGCTCCCTGGCCTCGTCGGAGGGATGTTTCCGTTTTGCAGGCAGCATGTGCTCGAAGGGGCGCGGGCTGGACTAACGCAGCCCAAAAGCTTACAAGCCCCGAATGGCCAGCGAACAAACGCTCAAAAATGACACGTGCAAAAAAGGATGTATTTCGACGGGTTTCGACGGATTTCGACGGATTTCGACGGATTTCGACGGGCATCCTTTGTAGCAACTTTCCACAACACGAAGCAAGCACTCGACAGAGGATCAAGGGCAACTCATCACGTGACTGAGTTAGGGTATAGGGGGAAAGCGCAAAGGTCCCGCTTTGCAGTCACGGGTTTTCCCCCAAGCAGGCTCGGCTCAAAGCCAGTCAGCAGGCCACCCTTCTGGAAGCGAAGGCAGGGCGCGAACCAAGTAATTTGCCACGCTGAGCAGATCAGCCTCACACGCTCTCAGCAAGAGTCGCGGAGTTTGTGTCGCTGAGCCAATGAAGCCAAGCCGCTTGCTCCAGCCACTCAATCGGCTCCGAAAACAACAGCTTCACGTTCTCTCCTGCGCGGTTGCAAAATAAATGCAAAGCCAAGCGCTAGACAACGCGTCTGTGAATTGCTCCGACCACAACCGCCCAGGAACGGGGGGATCAGGGTCAGCCTTGCGGCCGCTATGGCGCTGATTGGAAACAAACACTTTTTGGGCAACTTTACTTTTTGCCTTCGCCTGTGTGTTGAAATGGGCGCGTTGGCGTGTTTGAGATTCGGGCCCCAAACTTGTTTTTGGGGCCACGTAACACTTTTCCGGCACCTTTCCCCTTTTGACCTGTCCTGACAAGCGTGGAGTTGGGCTCAAGAGCATGGAGGCCAAGCGCAAAGACGAGTCGCCCCTTCAATGTGGCTGGCGCTTAAATTTCTGGGCGGTTTCCCTGCTTATTAAGAAGGGGGGTCGAAGGTGTCACGTCCCTGCATTATGAATTTTAAGATTCTTCAAGCGCCAAGAGATACTGTGCTGCTCAAGTCACAAGTAAAATCTTTGACTAATGCATGCCTTCAGTATTCAAGATGACCTCTGCAAGTTATCAATCCGACACTTTACAGGCCAAACAGTCACCTCAAATCTGGCACATCCCACGTCTGCTGCACGGATGCTTGCACAGCCTTCGCAGTAGCGGAGAAGGCTGCGCAAAACTTGGGCGCACGATTTGGTTCCGCGCCACAAGCGTACCGAAAACGGAGCCTCCCATAACCAACAATTGAATAGCGGAGGGCTCAGGGTGCCACAAGCGTACCAAAAACGGAGCCCATTAGCTCATCAACAAAGAACACATCCTTTCGGCTCTCAAGTAAGTAGTACAAACGAAAACTAGACAAAGGCGCGCGGGCTTACTTTGCCACGAAATTGAAAGCGGCAAAAAAGGAGTGACATCTCTCAATTTTAAGCAAACCCTGCGCGTCCCAACTTGAAAGAGTTGCAATTTGGGAAGGGTGTCCTGCAAACACTCTCAGGTGTCCTAAACACAACAGCGAAGCTGGACGTAAGATTTGCTAATGTCTGAGTTCCACTCACCCCCAGCATCACCAGCAACACCCCCAGCATCACCAGCAACAGCAAAGCTGGACGTAAGATTTGCTAATGTCTGGGTTCCACTCACCCCCAGCATCACCAGCAACACCCCCAGCATCACCAGCAACAGCGAAGCTGGACGTAAGATTTGCTAATGTCTGAGTTCCACTTGCCCCCAGCATCACCAGCAACACCCCCAGCATCACCAGCAACAGCGAAGCTGGACGTAAGATTTGCTAATGTCTGAGTTCCACTCACCCCCAGCATCACCAGCAACACCCCCAAGCATCACCAGCAACAGCGAAGCTGGGCGTAAGATTTGCTAATGTCTGAGTTCCACTCACCCCCAGCATCACCAGCAACACCTCTTATGACGCACATCAGGCGCAAATTGAATTGAACTTACCAATCTGGGTTCGCAAACGCAAAAAGAAGCTAAAATAATTTCAACCTAAACATGAAGCGCGTCTTAAAGGCCCTTATGACGCGCATCAGGCAGAAAGAGTGGTTAAACTAAATTCAACAAGTGGCCTAAAAATGAAATACACATTGAGAATGGGTTTGCGAATGAAACGCAGAAAGATGGGTTAGCATAAATTTTGACGGGCTTTCGTGTTAATTGCAGCAGCATCTCTAAGAAAAAATAGAACTTCGAAACAGATCCTGACAACTTTCCCTGTCAGTTTGTGAACTTGTCATGGAACACATTCGGAAAAGTCCGGCCACTGCGCAATAGTCAAGAGTAGATTTAGGGCCCTTGCGCGCAACAACTTCACTCTCACACTTGCCTCGTTGTACTGCTCGCCAACCTGCTCCCACAGGGCGCCGAAGCCGAGTTCGTCGCGGCAGCCACAGCAGGCCTAGTCAAGTTGCGAGCAAGCAGCCCGCCAACGCTGAGGATAATCGAAACAAAGCCAGGCACTTTGTTCAGACAAGGCACTTTGTCGCAAGGCATGTCGATCCAGGCTTTGACCATAGCTTCAGCAAACGGTTTGGTGTACGCCCTGAGCAGCGTTAACTACTTGTGAGCACAAGACAGCTTTGACACGTTGAAGCCAAGGAACGACGATGCCCGAAGCTCAACGCTGTTTCCAGTTGCTCTCCTCCGACCATGATCCTGGGCAGCGCAGCAGGCAGCCCTCCACACGCCCCTAAAAAGGCCAACGATTGAGCTGAGTAACGTACCGCTCTTCAAGGTTTTTGGGTGGACCTGGATTGCCCCTCCTTGTTTCGAAGGTTCCCATGAAGCTTAGTTGTAGAGGCAGCGTGAATTTTGTGACATTGGCTTCTTGTCTTCACGTTAAGGCAAGGGTCATCCTCATACAGCCGCATCAGTTTGGCAGGAGGGCTACTGACCTCGTACATGCCTGAGCTGCCGATATCATCCAGGCCGGGCCAGGAAGAGCGATGGTTCGAAAATAGCCATGTAGGTTTCTGAGACATGGCAGCGAAGCTGCGCTGATCAATCTTTAGCCGGTAAATGCACCGGCGGCGGAGCACATCCTGAAACATTGAGTGGCGCATCATGGATTGACCGCTACGGTGCACTGGTTGTTCTAAAATAGTGCGGCATCCAGTCACTATTGCAACATCCCACAGTAGCATAGAGCGCGCAGTCACTTGGTTTGAGATGACCACGGAGGGGACGCCTGGCAGCCCCATAGGTAGTAGCCATCCACGGCCCGACGTTCCCATGTTTGCCCACGTATGGGATGAACCTCAAAGGCGCAAAACAGAGACAACAAGCTTGTTCAACAAGCGCAGACATTCAAGCGCGCAAACAATTTCCACACCCAGTGTCAGGCGCGGAGCAAGGCGGTGCCAGAAGGCACGTTGACCCACGCCGCAGGCGGCGAACCAAAAGTAGGCAGAGCCTTTGGAAATGCGAATCAAGAACACGCAGGCTTTCTTATTCAAGTAACACTAGCTCTTTGTGCGCAGGCTGAGGAGCAGAAAGCCGCTCGCTTTGCTGACGTCCAACTGCATCCCCAACTCGCAGTCAAAAGACCTCACTGCCATTCCTGCCAGGAATGGCTCAGCAAACGGATAGAGCAAACACACGCGACCAAAATCAATCACAGCTCCTCTCTCTCTGCAAACCTGACTGAAAGCCCCTTGTCCAGAATAGAACTCACAGGCGTCTAGATCGCCTACCACGCCAGACAAAGCTGGGTGGTAAGCCATCAAGAACGCAATCAGCGCCATTGCGCGAGGCCTTGGCTTTCTCTTGCAACAAACAACGTGTGATTGAGAATCTCGATCTGTGTTGAGAAGAACAATGAAACTGGACGACGCTTCCAAAACGATATGCAAGTGGCAGCCCGTGAGCAAGCCAGTTCTTGACCATGGGGCGAGGTCCAACCATGGTCGTGGACACGGGGGCCGCTGGCTGGTCACTTCACGCTGGCGCTGGAGCAGGCGTGGCATTCAGCTGTTTTGCATCACGGGCTTGCTGAGTAACCCGAAGCTTTGGCAACACAAAGCAGCGCACCCGCACACACACACACACACGCACACTTGCCTGGTTGCGCAGCGCGCAGCTCTTGAAAGCCCTAGTACTTACGCCTCTTCCGCTCCTCAGGTGAAAGTTCTTCCACGAGTGTCCTGAGTAGATACGTACGCCAAACAACTTTTGACAAGCGAAACAAGCGCAAGCAAACACGCCGAAACACGTACAAGGCTCGCCCTGACTGCGGACTCCCTCCACAACTTCATAGCAGCCTAGGCGCAACACGCAGTCTTTGCAAACAAGCCCGACTGCAAGAACATGTGAGTCGCTGAGGCTGTCGCAGGCCGCTTCACGCCGCGCTCGCAAGCCCGGGAAATGAAGAGCTGGAACGCAGTTTGCAACGGCCCCTCTGGAACCTTCCGCTTCTTCTGGACACCCTGACCAAAGCTTAACCTCCCGCAATTGCAAGGAGCGCGCAGGACACACTCGCCCCTGCCTTCTCGTCATCAGCAGCGTCGCCCGCATCCTTCGCACGCAAAAGATGAGTCAGGCAAAGAAAGCCACCGCCAGAGCGCAAACTGGCCCACCTTGTCTGGAACGTCCTGCGCAACACATGTGACAAATAGGGGGCGTTCAAATTGACACGTGTCGCCGTTCGCCGGTCCTGGAGGCCAGCCTCGGCTGCAGCATCTTCTTCCTGGTTGAGAGTAAAACGGAAAAGAGCGCAACACTTGCCACTGAACAGACTCAACGCGCTCCGCCTTCTCCCGAGCGCTGCTTGATGCGGCCTCAGGCCGAAAGCAACCCTGGCAGACTCGCGGACGAAAAAGGGGCGAGAAGAAAACAGAAGCCAGCCGCCAAGCACCCGACCAGCCAAGCAGTCACTCAATTAAGGAAACTCATCAACCAGTTAATCAACCAACCAACCAACCAACCAACCAACCAACCAACCAACCAACCAACCAATCAATCAATCAATCAATCAATCAATCAATCAATCAATCAACCAATCAATCAATCAATCAATCAATCAATCAATCAATCAATCAATCAATCAAATCAATCAACCAGACAACAAATCAACCAATCAATCAAAGAACGAACACACACACACAGCGCACGTGCAACTACATGCGCGCACAGCTCTAGGCCCTAGCTGCAACCTTGAAGCTCACAACAAGCAAGCCCGCCTCTGCCGCTTTGTTTTCGGGGTTGTCTCCGCGAGGATTTTGGTCACGCAGGCAACAAGTTGAACAGCGAAGTTGCAAGGCAGTGTCCTGATCTTTAGCGTTGACCATCGCCCGGAATTCGTTCTTGTACTGCTTGCGATGATCGAACGGGGTTGGCGGGTTTTCCTGAAGCCAAGCCTGGACCTTCTCGGCGGCCACGGGCACATCCCCATGAGCTAAGACATATGGCTGTGTTTCTTGTTCGTCAGGTAGAATCACAGGTTTCTTTTTGCGGGGGGCTTGCTTGGTTTGAAGCTGAGGCCCCACTAACTTCTTCAAGTCGCGGAGCCAGTCTTTCCGAGATGTAGGGGCGCGCTTGCGCTGCCGAATTACGTAGCCCACCTCAAGTTTGCGCCGCTTTGAGCAAGGGGCCGGCTAGTTCAATCCAACACACTCTCCACCAACTTTGAGACCGCTGCCATCATTTTCAAGCATGTGGCTTGCACCCTTCCAAGAGCGCGATCAACTTTGTCCTGCGCAATCGCGCTTGTTTTTGAAAGAACCCTTTTGCGCAAGCACCGAACAGTGAAGTCCGGGCCATAGAACTCGATCAGCAACTGTTCGTAGCTATCCACAGACCAGTTGGTGCCCTGTTCTTCAAGCGTTGGAATTGTCCTGAACAACCCGCTGGCATGGTGTGAGCAAGCAAACGAAAGAACACGTGGATTGAAGCTGAGCCACACTGCCAAAAGACCGCAGTGATTTGCGCACGTTTTCTCAATCTTCTCTTCGTCTTCCTCTTCTTCGTCGCAGTCATTCGAGACCAGGTTTCCCTACCAAGTATAAGCAAACGCCCCTTTGCGCGAACTGTCGAAACTAGCACGCGCCTGCTCGACATTGTTGTAGCCGATCTTCGCCCAGGCTGCCGCCATTCTCTTCCGCCAGTCAGCGCTGACGAGCTTCGCAGGCGGCATGGCAGCAAAGGGTCTAGTCAGAAAGGCTGCGCGGTCTAGCCGCGCACTTGGGCCTTGCTTGACCCCGGGCAGTTCTTGCAACAAAACGCGCACACTGATGTAGGCTACACTGGCCCCAAAGCGTGTTGAAAAAGGTTGCAGGCGAGCCCTGGGAAAGAAGTTGAGCAAGCTCGAAGTTTCATCCTTGCCCTGCAGGAGGCCGGGCTGACTCAGGCATG